TGTCCTCAGTCGCTAGAAGTATTTACTTCTGATTACCCTTTTCCCAATCTGCCCTCCTCTCTATCATCCCCCTGCTCTCTTGTCCCCTTCTCCCCCTATTTTCCTGTAGGGTAAGACAATTCCATACCCAATTGAATGTGTATGTTATTCCCTCCTTAAGCCAAATCCTATGAGAATAAGATTTACTCATTCCCTCTCACCTTCCCCTGCTTCCCTCCACTGTAAGAGACTTTTCTTTTCTGTTTTTTATTTGTGAGATAATTTACCCCATTCTACCTCTCCCTTTCTTCTTCTCCGAGTATAATCCTCCTCATCCCTTAATTTTATTCTCCAGATATGACCCCTTAATCTTCAACTCACCCTGTGCCCTCTATCTATCTATCTATCTATCTATCTATCTATATATATATACATATAATTTTTTTCCTCCAACTACCCTAATACTGACAAAGGTCTCATGAGTTATAAATATCATCTTTCCATGCAGGAATGTAAACAGTTCAATCTTAATAAGTCTCTTATGATTTCTCTTTCCTGTTTACCTCTTCATGTTCCACTTGAGTCCTGTATTTGAAAGTCAAATTTTCTATTCAGCTCTGGTCTTTTCATCAGGAATGCTTGAAAGTCCTCTATTTCACTGAATGACCATTTTTTCCCCTGAAGGATTATACTCAGTTTTGCTGGGTAGGTGATTCTTGGTTGTAATCCTATCTCCTTTGCCCTCCGGAATATTATATTCCATGCCCTGCGGTCCTTTAATGTAGAAGCTGCTAAATCTTGTGTTATCCTGATTGTGTTTCCACAGTACTTGAATTGTTTCCTTCTGGCAGCTTGTAATATTTTCTCCTTGACCTGGGAACTCTGGAATTTGGCTACAATATTCCTAGGAGTTTTCCTTTGGGGATCTCTTTCAGGAGGAGATCTGTGGATTCTTTCAATTTCTATTTTGCCCTCTGGTTCTAATATATCAGGGCAGTTTTCCTTGATAATTTCTTGAAAGATGATGTCTAGGCTCTTTTTTTGATCATGGCTTTCAGATAGTCCAATAATTTTTAAATTCTCTCTCCTGGATCTATTTTCCAGGTCAGTTGTTTTTCCAATGAGATATTTCACATTGTTTTCTAATTTTTCATTCTTTTGGATTTGTTTTACAGTGTCTTGATTTCTCATAAAGTCACTATCTTCCAATTGCTCTATTCTAATTTTTAAGGAAGTATTTTCTTCAGTAATCTTTTGGACTTCCTTTTCCATTTGGCCAATTTTTCTTTTTAGGGCATTTTTCTCCTCATTGGCTTTTTGGACCTCTTTTGCCATTTGGGTTAGGCTATTTTTTAAGGTGTTATTTTCTTCAGTATTTTTTTGGGTCTCCTTTAGCAAGCTGTTGACTTGTTTTTCATGATTTTCTTGCATCACTCTCATTTCTCTTCCCAGTTTTTCCTCTGCTTCCCTTACTTGCTTCTCAAAATCCCTTTTGAGCTCTTCCAAGGCCTGGGACTGATTCATATTTTTCTTGGAGGCTTTGGATGTAGGAGCTTTGACTTTGTTGTCTTCTTCTGGTTGTATATTTTGATCTTTCTTTGTCACCAAAGTAAGATAATATAGTCTGACTCTTTTTGCGCTGCTTGCTCATGATCCTGGCCAATTACTTGAGTTTTAAACTCTTTGTTAAGGTAAGAGTCTGCTTCCAATGTGGAGAATGTACTGTCCCAAGCTTCAGGGGTTTGTACAGCTGTTTTCAGAGATACTTGTAGGGACCTGTAAATTTTCAGTTCTTCCAAGGTGGTATGATAAGGGGCAGGTGTTTACTCCTTTCCTGGCCTGTGACCACAAGTATTCCTTTCTGTCCTGTAACTGTGAGGAGGGGTTCCTCTCCACAGCCACTACAAGCTCCACCACGCTAGCATTCCTCCTTACCCCAGCACCCCACCCAGAACTGTGACCCAGATCCAACACGGGCAAAGCAAGAGATTCCTGCCTCAGCACTGGTAAAGAGATCCCTGCAATCCCTCTCTGATCAGCCACTGGATTCCCCCTCAGTCTGTGGGCCAGGAAGCTTGGGAAGCAGCTGCCCCCCCAGGGCCACGCTCTTGGGAATGAGCTGAAACCCCCCTTCCTTCTCAGCACTGACAGAAACAGACTTTTCCCACTGACCTTCTGAGTTGTCTTTGGCATTCGTGGATTGAGGAGTCTGGAAACCTCTACAGCTGCCCACAATTCAGTTCTCTGAGTCCTGCTCCAGGTTCACTGAGGCCTGCGCACCCATGCTGTGCTGTGCTCCCAGCCTGGCATGATACACCTTTCTGATCAGTCATCCAGGTTGTCTTGGGCTGGAAATTTGTTTCACTCTGTCTTTTTGTGGGTTCTGCTGCTTTAGAATTTGTTTAGAGCCATTTTTTATGAGTATTTGGAGGGGTTTGGGGGAGAGCTCAAGCAAGTCACTGCTTTCACTCCGCCATCTTGGTTCCTCTCCCCTTCCTTGATATTCTTGACCTTTTATTCTTTCACATGAATTTTGTTATGTTTTCTAGCTCTAGAAAATAATTTTTGGTAGTTTGATTGGTATGGCACTGATAAAGTAAATTAGTTTGGGCAGAATTGTTATTTTTATTACATTGGTTGGCCTATTCATGAACAACTGATATTTTTCCAGTTGTTTAGATCTGACTTTATTTCTGTGAAAAATGTTTTGTAATTGTGTTCATACAGTTTCTGGATTTGTCTTGGCAGGTAGATTCCCAAGTATTTTATACTGTCTTCAGTTATTTTAAATGGAATTTCTCTTTCTATCTCCTGCTACTAGGCTTTGTTGCTTGTATACAGAAATGATGATGATTTATATGGGTTTATTTCTAAAATTAATTATTTCAACTAGTTTTTTAGTTGATTCTCTAAGATTCTCTAAGTATACCATCATATCATCTGCAAAGAGTAGTAGTTTTGTTTCCTCATTGCCTACTCTAATTACTTCAATTTCTTTTTCATTTTAAGGAAAGTTCCCTTTATGCCTGTGTTCTCTAGTATTTTTAATAGAGATGGGTGTTGTATTTTGTCAAAAGCTTTTTCAGCATCTATTGAGACAATCATATGATTTCTGTTGGTTTTGTTATTTATGTGGTCAATTATGCTTATAGTTTTCCTAATATTGAAACAGCCTTGCATTCCTGGTATAAATCCTACCTGATAATAGTGTATGATCCTTGTGATATATTGCTATAATCTCCCTGCTAGTAGTTTCTTTAAAATGTTTGCTCCAATATTCATTATCAAAATTGGTCTATAGTTTTCCTTCTCTATTGTAGCTCTTTCTGGTTTAGGTATCAGCACCATATTTGTGTCATGAAAAGAATTTGGTAGGACCTGGCCCATCAACATTGATAGAGAGGCGTTCCTCACCAGAAGATTCCTGCCTCAGTGAAATCACTGGTATAATAATAATAATTTTAAAAATTGGTGGGGTAGAGACAGGGCAAGTTACCCTTTGGTAACTTTTGGCTGGATTTTTTTAAAAGTAGAGGACAGCCACAGATCTGTTTCCAATATATTTTCCCAAACTTTATATCCTTAAGCACCAGTGTAGCTGTCCAGCCACGTGTGAGGCTCAGGTTTCCATGCCACAGTCCCACTGGTTCTTTGCCATGGTCTTTTACTGTGACCATCTCCACCCTAATGAAAATTTGGAGTCAACTGCTGAGTCCCCAGGATCTGATAGGTGAACTTTCACTTTAACCTCATCAATTTCCGGTCATCTCCTCACCATAATCCTGGGTTTGAATATCTTTCCCCTCCTCTTCCCCACTACTTTTCAGTATCTTAGTCCTTAGCACAATGCCTGACTCATGGTAAACACTTCATAAATGCTGTCTTTCTTTCTATCTTTATCTATCTATCTATCTGTCTGTCTATCTATCTATCTATCTATCTATCTATCTATCTATCTATCTGTCTGTCTGTCTGTCTGTCTATCTATCTAGCTATCTATCTGTCTGTCTGTCTGTCTGTCTGTCTGTCTATCTATCTATCTCTATCTATCTACCTATCTCTATCTATCTATCTGTCTATCTATCTCTATCTATCTATCTATCTGTCTATCTATCTCTATCTATCTATCTCTATCTGTCTATCTCTATCTATCTATCTATCTATATCTGTCTATCTCTATCTATCTATCTATATCTATCTATCTCTATCTATCTATCTGTCTGTCTGTCTGTCTATCTCTATCTATCTATCTCTCTGTCTGTCTGTCTATCTCTATCTATCTCTATCTATCTATCTATCTCTATCTATCTATCTATCTGTCTATCTATCTATCTATCTATCTATCTATCTCTATCTATCTGTCTGTCTATCTATCTGTCTGTCTGTCTGTCTATCTATCTATCTATCTATCTGTCTATCTATCTCTATCTATCTATCTGTCTATCTATCTCTATCTATCTATCTATCTATGTTTGTCTATCTCTATCTATCTATCTATCTATCTATCTCTATCTGTCTATCTGTCCATCTATCTCTATCTATCTATTTATCTGTCTGTCTGTCTATCTCTATCTATCTATCTATCTCTATCTATCTATCTATCTATCTATCTATCTATCTATCTGTCTGTCTGTCTATCTATCTCTATCTATCTATCTGTCTATCTATCTATCTATCTATCTATCTGTCTGTCTATCTATCTCATCTATCTATCTATCTATCTGTCTATCTCTATCTATCTATCTATCTATCTGTCTGTCTGTCTATCTATCTCATCTATCTATCTATCTATCTCTATCTGTCCGTCTATCTATCTATCTATCTATCTATCTATCTATCTATCTATCTATCTATCTATCTATCTATCTTAGCTATCTGTCTGTCTGTCTGTCTGTCTATCTATCTATCTATCTATCTATCTATCTATCTCTATCTGTCTGTCTGTCTATCTATCTATCTATCTATCTATCTATCTATCTATCTATCTATCATCTATCTATTTCATTCTTATGAAAACAATCCCTCACAGGAGCAGAACTTGGACAATGGGCTTGGAAGCCACGGGACAGAGAACAGTCAAATAAAACAGGAGAACCAGATGGAAATGTCTCTGTTGGAAAACTCCTCTCCCCTTGGAGCCTCCTCATCCATTATGATGTCACATTGTATTTTCTCCTTCTGGATCCCATTGACTTAGCAACTTCTCCTCGTAGGCTTCTGAAGGTCAGGGACAGGTCTTGGGTAGCCAGCAGGGGGCCCTGGTGCCTGATCATGTGCCCCAGGAAGGTGACAGTGCCCCACAGCAATGTTCCTCCCCCCTGGGCTCTGTCTAGCATTTTTGCTGCCTTCAACGTTGTGCTGTTGATCACCATCAGTGGACTGTTCTTCTCCTTTCCGTGAGTGGGTCTCTCTTGATTCTCTGCTCCCGTGAAGCACGACATGTATAGAGATCAGGAGGGAGCTCCAAATTTCACAGGCATTTTGCCTTCTCTTTGGCCCAGCTGGCTGCCCCTTCCCTTTGCAGGAATCCCAAGTGGATAGGGAGGATCTGCTAGAGTGGTCCCTCATCTCTCCTGGAAATCACGTCATCTCACGGATACTCACAGCTGCTCCCAATCAGTGAGATGCTTACCTTCCTCCAAGCCAATGCCTCCGCTATTCTCTTTAGTCTTTTGGGCTGGTCCAGGGAGACCTCCCTGTCTTTCTCCAAAGCCCACCCAGATACTTCAAGGCCCTGAATGAGTGGTTGGTGGGTAAAAAATGGCCATTGTACTGAAATGGACCATACTCCCTGCACCTTGTTCATCAGAAGAGGCCATGTCCTGTCTAATGTTAGGTTGGGACATTGGCTGAGATAATGAGATGGCAGACAATATCCAATTCTAGAAGTTTACATTTGATACACCTTCCTTTTAGTCCTACTGGACCCTAGGGGTTGGGATGAGTTGGGATGGGAAGGAAAATGCATAGTGGAGTGGAGGGAAGGCTGGAAAGGAAACAGTCTGGGGTTGGTTCTGTTTTCAGTTGCAGGTGGCTTGCTCAGCATGGTGACTGGGTGTCTCCCACCATCACGGGGTTCCTTTTTGTTCCCACTCTGGTCAGTCTCATTTTTCTCAATTTCTCTGACCCTGGCATTCTCCACCGAGGTAAGGTCCCCCTTCCTGCCTGAGACCTTGTACTCCAAAAAGTCAAAGGGGATGGGGAGGAGGAGAAGGGTTGGTGGCCATAGATCAGGCAAACCATGGAGATCTAAAATCTCTCCCTTCTTTGTGCCTCAGTTTCCCCAGAACACCTGCCTCTTCCCCTTCTGCTTCCAGAAGCTGTGTTTCTCAAACTATCAAGTGGTGACTTAGGGAGCTTCTGAGGCCAAAGTGGGGTTCTGCTCTAAGCTAGTAACCAAGAGACCGAGGGTCTCTTTCTGACTCTGCCACTAATTAGCTGTGAGAGCTTGCGAAGTCCTTCTCCCTGTTGGGAAATAGATTTCTGCATCTGTAAAAGGAGGGAACCGGTCTGGGTGACTTCGGAGGGTTTCCCTGCTGATTCTGGGAGAGGGTAAAATGAGTATGGAAAGGAAGAGGAGGGGAGAAACCCAGCAGTTGTGGAGCAGGCTCATAAGGAGAACATGCTCTTTCTTCCATCCCACTGGATGTGTCATACTTTCCCAATACCCCTTTTTCTTTTTTTTTCCCCTTCCCTATCTGCTCCACTCCCTTCCTCAACTCCACCTGAAAGGGCAGGTCAACCATGACTCCAGAGACCCGGTTTCTAAATCAAAACTCCTGCTGGAAAACCCACTTAGACCCTCAGGTGTCCCTGTAGGATGGCCCCAGGGCCTGGATGCACCTGTGAATGTCTCTGCTCTACCTCTTCCCCTTAGACTGCTGCCTTCTTCCAGGCAGGGTTCTTTAAAGTCCTGGGACCTGGAAGCTCCCAGGCCTCTAGTCCATGGTTCTGGTGACCAGCTGGTTGTAGGGATGTAAGCATAACCAGGTGCTTCCTGCCTCTCTCCATGTCCAGGCTCAGAGTGGCAGTGTCCACTGGCCATCAAGGTAGTGTGGGTGAACAGGAGAGCTTTCCACCTTCAATGGTGCCAGAGGTGCTGCTACCATCGTCCTCCCCGAACCTACCACTGTCCCTGGTGCAACATCTGTGTGGAGGTGAGTTCTGAATGGGCATCTTGGCTACTGACTGAATGAACCTTCCTGGGGCTCAGTTTTCTCATCTCTAAAATGGGAGGGGGTTGTACTTGATAGCCTGAGGACCCTTCTAGTTTTAAATCTATGATTCCTCTCCAGCCCTCCACGTCCTCATCTGGAAAATGAGAGGGCTGAATTAGATAGGTAGATGATCTCTAAGAATCCTTCCTAAGAGTTCAGACAGTTTAGGACACAGGAGTTCTTATCCTTTTTTGAGTCAAGGCTGCCTTTCTTTGGTAGTTGGGCAAAGCCTTTGTTCTTTTTTTAATGTTTTTTAAAAAATTGATAACTGAAGGAAATGACAAATTTCAGTGAGAGGGTAGTGAAAATAGAGATGTAATTCTTATCCAGGGCAGTTAGGTGATGCAGCGGATACAGCACCAGTCCTGGAGTCAGAAAGATTAATCTTTGTGAGTTCAGATTTGGTCTTAGACACTAGCTGTGTAACCCTGGGCAAATAACTTTGACTCCATTTGCCTTAGTTTCCTCATCTGTAAAATGAGCTGGAGAAGGAAATGGCAAACCTCTCCAGTGTCTTTGCCAAGAAAACCCCAATTGGGGTCATAAAGAGCCACACATGACTGAACAAAAATTTTTATCCCGCTGAAGTTCACAAACCCCATAAAATCTACCCAAACATTACAGACCCTACATTAAGAACCCCTGGCTTGGGATTCTTTCTTTCTTTACACAAACACACTTATATCTCTTTGGGGTGGAGAGAAAGCTGACATTATCAGTCTCAACCAAAAAGATCACGTAGGAGCGGATGTGCTTGCGGGAGTTCACGTAGGGGTGGGATGGGGGCAGGGAATGGGCCAAGGCAATGCTGGGCCCAGCAAGAAGCTCTTGTCTCTTGCTGACGCAAGTCTTTGGGAAACAAAGCCTGGGTTTCCAGGCCAGGAGACTTTCTTAGAACAATAATCTAAAACTCGTGCAGAGCACTTTTTATCAAATGGCTTTTCATTCATGTTCTAATGAGATGAAGTATAGAAAGCCCTTTCAAGTCTTAAAGTTCTATACAATTGCTAGGTATTATATTTTCTCATTTGAGCCTCCTACCAACTCTATTAGATAGGCAGGGAAGGTATAATTAGCATCCTCATTTTACAGTTGGGGAAATCAAAACCTCTGAGAGGTGATATGTTTTGCCCAGAGTCACATACCTTCTTGGTGAGAGAGCTTAAGTCAGAGCCCAGGTCTCCAGATTTCTGGTCTGACTCTCTTTTCATGGCCCCAGGCTGCCTCTCTGAAAGGATGAACTCATAACGCCTAGCTTATCAGGCCAAGGGACAAAATTTGCAGGCTAATTGGCCTCTCAGTTTCTTCCTGTGTGTGAATGGGGGGAGAAAAAGTGAGTCCAAAGGTAGGGGTTTAAAAATGGGTGGAAAGTTAAGGGTAAGGAAAGGGAGACCAGTTTGAGGCTTAGGGATTCCATAGTTGAACCTCCAGACCCACTTCATCCTACTCCTCCCAGGATTTTGATCACCATTGCAAGTGGGTCAATAACTGCATTGGCCAACGCAACTTCCGATGCTTCATGCTGCTGGTGGTCTCGCTCTGCCTCTACACGGGAGCCCTGCTTTCTGCCTGCTTGGCCTTCCTGATCCGAACATCCCAACAGCCATTCTCCGTGGATAAGGCCGTTGCGTATCCTCTTCTAGGCCACTGGGGCTGGGGCTTCTTGAAAGAGGATGTGGTCTGAGGGGAGGGGAGGGGAAGAGGCAGCAATCAAAATGGGGAAGATGTCAGGGAGTGAGCCTGTGCAGAAGGAAGGGGGTCAGAGAAGAGGAATAAAGATAGGGGAGGGTTTAGGGAGGGATCCTGTGCACCAGGAGAAGGAATAAGAAATGGGTTGTCAGTTACTAGCTGTGTGACCCTGGGCAAGTCACTTAACCCCGATTGCCTCAGCAAAAAGCAAAAACAAAACAAAATGAAAGAAATGGGAAGGTATCAGAGAGGAGGGCAGTGAAGACAGGGAGTGATGGGTCAGGGAGTGAGGGAGGTAAGGCAGAGGGAATAGGAATGAGCCAAGGACAAGGGACTGGGAAGGAGGGACAAGAGGAAAGGGACCTCTAAGGAGACAGGGAAGGGGCTGCTGAAATAAGGATAGAGAAGGGAGATGAGGGCAGCAGGGGAGGTGCTGGGAGGCTGGTCTCCACCCTTAGCCTTGCTGCCAGCATTGTGGTTGCCGTCCCAGCTGCTGCCTTCATGCTGCCGCTGCTACTACTACTGTGTACACAAGCTCTGTCCGTGAGCTCGGCTGAGCGCTCTTACGAGGTCAAGGTACAGGAGCCGCCTGGCGTGAGCACTGGGGTGGGGATGGAGGGAAGGGTTTATCTCAGGAACGTCTCTGTATTCCTGCTTTCCAAGAACTTTTCTTCCCACTCGTCCTCACTCATTCAATACACATCTGGGCAGTCAGGTGTCACTATGACTAAAATGCTGGACTTGGAGTCAGGAAGACCTGAGTTCAAAGTTTTCCTCAGGCACTTACCAGCTGTGTGACTCTGGGCCAGTCACCTCTTCTCAGCCTCAGTTTTTTTTGTCAATGAAATGGGAATCATTTGTGATTGTGGTTGTTTGTGAAAGCAGAAGGAGATAACATATAAAATGCAGTGCAGACCTTTAAATGAGAGGTATTATCATATTCATTAAGCACACCCCATCCTCTCCGCAAGAAGGCACTGTGCTAGGTGCTGGGGACCCAAAAATGAAATGGGACCCAGGCCTTAAAGGTGCTTATATTCTAATAAGGGAGAGATTTGTGGGAGGAGGGAGGGAAGAAAGCTAAGACAAGTATTATCAAATGACTATGAATAACCCACCTCCCTCCTGCCTCTCCCAGTGCCGTTACCTGCAGGGTTATAATCCCTTTGACCAGGGCTGTGCCAGCAACTGGTACTTAACGTTTTGTGCACCACTGGGACCTAAGTGAGTTGGGGCCCCAACCTGCCTGGGGGTGGAAGGGTCCTACTGAGCTCCTGAGCCCTTCCCCCAAACCCTCCCTTCTCTATCATCCTCAGTCTCCATTCTTTGCTGTTTTCCCCATCCTTCTCCCCAGGCATCGCACAAAGAGCTAGTGTGGTTAGTGTAACTGGGCTGCCTTCCTGGCTACTGCACACCTTCCCTGTCCTCACCCCCCACCCCCAGTTTCTCTAGAAGTGGGCTATTCAGCTTCAAAGGATGGGGTGTGGATGTTGGAAGCAACTTGCCATGGGGCAATACAAATATTACAGGCTGGGGGAATGGGAGAAGAGGTAGCATAGATGTGTTGTTTTCTTCTCCCCAGGTATATGGCAGAAGCTATCCGGCTGCAGAGGGTGGTAGGGCCAGACAGGGCCCGAAAACCCAGATTATGTTCCCTTCAGTGGCATGCTGCTCCTTGCCCCAACTCTGTGCCTTACTCTCAGTCGACCAGTGTATCCTGTCCCTACGCTGTCGCTACGCCCAACCTTCATTCTGTTGGTGACGTGCCAGGCCTTCACCCTACCAACATGCCAAGACCTCACCCCACCAATGTGCCAGGTTCCCATTCTGTTCCCGTGCTTGCCCCCCAACTCATCCATATGAAATCGTGCGCAGGGAGAGGTCCGTTGGGGACTGGGAAAGCAGCTCCTCAGCCAAAGGTAAGGAACCAAGAGTATGTATTTGTAAAGGAGAAGGATGTATGTATGTGTGGGGAGGAGTGGCCGTGGCTGAGGGTAGGAGGGCCCAGGGAGGGGAAACCCCAGGAGATACTACATTCAGGGGGATGGACTCTGACAAGCACATTGGGCCTTTCCATGATGCCAGGCTACTCCATAGATTCCAGGGACAGATTAGCTACTGCATCTCCCTACCCATGAAAAAGGACAGATGAACCCAAAAACTTCCTGAAATATATCCACATACCCTCTGGGGAGGTAGCATCACCCTATCCAAATTCACTATGACCCTCATGGGGTGGGTAAAGGCAGCCAGGTGCTGAGGAGAGAGCCTTGTATTGATAGCCAAGAAACATGGGTTCTAGCCCCATCTCTAGCTGTGTGATCTTGGGTAAGTAACCTCCCCTCTCTGGGTCTCAATTTCCTCATTGTAAAAGAAGGCAGTAGTAGACTCTAAAGTCCCTTCTATCCTTTGCTCTCTGAAGGCAACCTTGAGATAAAAGAGCAAGGGATCTTACGTTTTTGCCAATGCTGCTGGGAAGGGGGTGTGTGTGTGTGTGTGTGTGTGTGTGTGTGTGTCTGTGTGTGTCTGTGTTTGTGTGTCTGTGTGCATATATATGTATATGTGAACTGGATGGTAGGATTCAGGGTAGGGGAAATTCCCCAGAGCACTATGGGTATATCCCCAACTGTTTCTCCCTCTTTCTCCAGCTTCCAGGCATGGGTGTTCTTCCTCAACTAAAAGAGGCCCAGAGACAAGCTTTGGGGAGCTGCCTACCTGGAGCTGGCCCTTGCCAAGGAGCTCTGCTATGCCAAGACCGCCCTTCCCTGGGCTCTTTCCTTTGAGCCGCAACATGTCGGACTCCTCCTTCCCAGATCCCATCCTGTCCTTTTCCCATTCTGGCTCTCACTGGTGTGAGCATTTGATTCCTCCAGAGTCTTCATTAAATATCTATCCTTTTACTGACTTCCTAGAGCAGTGTGGAGTGGTAGAAAGGACACTGGAAGCATCACGGCCTTTGCCACTTCCTCCCTAGATGACGTTAGGGAAGGCACTCTGGGCTCTCATTTCTTTATCGGTAAAATGAGAAGGTTGGCCACAAAGCTTGCTTCTGGTTCTTATATTTTATGGTTCTTAAATATGCATCAAAGAAGAGCATTAGCTCTGTTCCCAAGTGTGAGTCAGCTCATGTCTGTGACCATTAGTCTCTCCTGACTGGTGTGGCCCCTGCTGCTCTTTGGCTGTAGGGGGCAGCAAAGAGTCATTTATGACTCTGTCCTGTGCATTGGTTCCTGCGGCTTTATCTCATACCTGGTTTGAGTCCCTGGGGATTAGGAAATTCTTTGTGTTAGGAATCTCCCACTCCCACCATGTCTATGTGGGTTGGGATCCACACATAGACATGGAGACTATTCCTCCCATTTCCCTCACTGTTGATGTGGGTTCCCCCTTGCCAAACTTAAAAATGTGTGATTGGGTGGGCACTGAGAACAATACCCAGGAGTCTAAGCCTGGTGTAGTGCTGGACTTGGAGTCATGAAGACCTAGGCTCTAGTCCCACTTCAGATTCAAACCTGGATAAGTCACTTACCTTTTCTGGGCCTCAGTTTCCTCACCTGTAAAATAAAGTTGGATTAGATGGTCTCTGAGGTCCTTTGTAGGGAATCTAGGTGGCACAGTAGATAAAGCACTGGGCTTGGAATCAACAAGATTCATCTTCCTGAGTTCAAATCCAGCCTCAGATACTTACTAGCTGTGTGACCCTGGGCAAGTCACTTAACCCTGTTTGCCTCGGTTTCCTCATCTGTCAAATGAGCTGGAGAAGGAAATAGCAAACCACTCCAATATCTCTGACAAGAAAACCTTTAATGGGGTCACAAAGAATCAGAAACAACTGAACAACACAAGGTCCTTTCTAGCTCTATGCCCACCATCCTGTGGTTGTTAATTTTCCTCTTCGTTTCCTCTAGGCTCCGGCCTCAGAGCCATGGTTATCCCAGCCAGTCCACCCCGTGGGATCATCCCTGGGGAGGATCATCCATACAGGGTAAGCATGGGAAACTCAATCCCCTTGTGCTCAACTCCATCCCATTTTTATGTAGGTGAAATCAGATATAAATGAACTGACTTTGGTCCAGAAAAGGAGAGAAATGGATTTATCCAAGTGTTAAAACAAACAAATAAAAAAGCATTAACCAGAGTGATGTGTGGAGGAGCAGGGCTGGTCCCACCAATTTTACCTTTCTAAGGATAGGGAAGATAAAGACTGAAGTGGTGTGGAGGTCAAGAGGAGCTCACGTTTGTATAGCATTTTCCTCTGAACAACTCTATGAAATAGGTTGTATATGACCTCCATTTTATAGACAAGGAAATCAAGGCACAGAGTACTTAAGTGATTTGCGAAAGGTCACATAGGAAAGAAGAAGAAAACAAGCATTAAGTACCTACCATGCGTCATCTGCTCTGCTAGGTGATTGACAAGTATCTCATTGCATCCTCACAGCAACTGTTGAGGTAGGATGTTGCAGCTAGTAAGTGTTGGAGCCAGGATTAAAAGACAAGTCTTTAAGGTCTAAATTCAGCATTTTTTCCATTGATACAACAGATAGAGCCCTCAGTCAATGCACTTTTGAGCCTCCAGTTCTGGTGGGAACTGTTGCTGTTAACACCTTCTTGGTTTCTACAGGTGTAAAGCCCTTTCTTCTTTGAGTTTCCAGTTCATCCCTTTTGTAACTCCTGTTCTGATAGCCAGATCTCACTTTATCCCCTAGAAATCTATGAGAGGGTTGGACTTCATGGCTTCCAAGACGATAGCCATCTCTAGCTCCTGTGATCCTATGAGCTGGAGCACAATGTACCAATGTACCTCACATTTCTGATCAATTATCAGGCACCCCACTCTACCTTGGCCCCGTATCTGTAGCCCCAACCCTTTCTTTCAAGGTGCCTCTCAGTCATTCCCTGTGCCAGACCCTTGACACCCGGATGTACCATTCACCTTGTCCCCACTGAAAATCACTATACATATTTTCGTGTTAAAAGCCAGCTCCAGTCTGGTCTCAGGAAATTCCCATTACCTTTTTTGGTTTTATTTTTTTACAATATTTTAAAAATACTTGACTCTTCTCCTTACACTGCAAAATTGAAACCAGCAGTCTCATCCCTTTAAGAGTCATTTCATACCCACAAGTCTGTGTAGGAGTGAACACACACTCACCATGACCTACCTGCACTTAGCCCTGGGCCTGGCTTAGAAAGGAGCAGTGCTCGAAACTGTTCCTCTTCTCTCTCCTCCTCTGAGTGGGGACCAGCCTGGGACAGAAAGGAGGGGGCTTTAGTCTCTGAAATGAGCAGGGTGGGGAGGCTTGAGAAGCAAAGATTGGGCCAAGAGCCCTAGCAACAACCCAGACTCCTAAAGGCTGGGGGATGAGGGGGAGAAGATTGGGTGAGTGGAGATACCTCAAATTCTTCCATTCCCCTAAAGTTTTCTCTCAGTTGAACTACTTGGTAGGACTGTAGGACGCTGCAGCATGGGCCAGCACCATATCACTATAGGATGGCTGATGTGTAATAGTGGGCCCTAGGTGGTGCAATGGTTAGAGCCCTAGGCCTGAAGTCAGAAAGACCCAAGCTCAAATCTGGCCTCAGAGAAGGAAAATGATAAACCGCCTTGGTATCTTTGCTTAGAAAACCCCAAATGGGGTCACAAAGAGTCAGACACAATGGAAATAACGGAACAAATGTGGAGTAGGGTCCCCACAGGAGAATATAACACCATCTCCAAGCTTGGGTCCATAGACATTTTAGCTACTGTGCTCCATTTTTCAAGTCACAGTCCCAAAGAATAAGCCATATTACGGCTAATCTCTTTATAGGAATACTTTGCTTTTCGATGTAAAATTTCTCTTGAACTTTTCTTCAAAACTCCTCATCACCCCGTGTGAGTTTTTCCCACCACCCTGTCAAGAAATTAGGAGACACCCTGTTTTCCAGAGCTAAGGCCCAATAAGCAGGCTGTGCCCTAAGCTTGGCATAACAACAATCCTTTACGTTCACCCTCTGGATGATGTCACTGCTCTGGCAAAATCCTACATAATTACTGTATTGCTTTGACCAGCACCAGGTGTTTTCTGAGCTCAGGCAAGCACCTGCTGTTGCTGTATCTGAGTTCTGGTCATGAAGCCCTGCTATGAATCTAACTGGTCACTTTGTTGCTGTTACCCCTCATTGTCAGAGCTACAGCTCACTGCTTAACCATTGATATAATTCTTGAGCTCTCCCTGCCTTAGGTCCCCCCCCACCCCCCCAGTACATGTCTAGGTCCCATCCTTGCTTGCAAGCCTGTTTCCCTCACTTTGAAATTAAACTTCTGTTTGCTTCCTGACTCTCCTGTCTCTAGCTTGTTATGCCAGGCTCTGGCCACCCACAGTTTAGAGGCTGGTTCAGTCCAGTTGACAACACATGAACACATTTCGTTTCTTCTACCATCCCTAGTCCAGCTCTTAAATCCTCTCTAGTGTCCATGCTGAGAGTAGGAGAGAATATTTTGGGTGTAGAATCCTCCCCCTCCAGTATCACTTCTTCCTCTTCTCCTCCTCTTCCAACCCACAGGCCTGCATCACCCCACCCTTCTCTCCTTGGGTCCTGATAAGAAGAATGGGGAATTATCAGGGCATGCCAGCATTTACAGGGCTGGCCACCCCAACCAGGCCCAGAAGACTATATTGACCCCTACCCCCCACCCAAGCAGAAGCTGAAGAGGCGTTTTGGTCGAGAGAGAGCAGGAAACCCTTCAATTTACAGTGAGAGAAACTGTTTGCTTGATCCCAGCAGTACAGATGCCTACAAACCCTATTTCCCTTTCCACTCCATCCCTTCCCCCACTCCCCAATAGATCCAGACCAACTCTTAAACCCTCTCAGATAAATTAGAACCTTGGGAAGGATGTGGCCAACTGCAAGACCTTTGGTGCCCTTCCTAGACAGCTGGGTGTCTTGTCTGGGGCTAGCTCTGCTGCTCACTGTGACCTCTCGCAAGTCAGGACCTCTCTGAACTTGTTTTCTCCTCTACAAAATGAGAGGATTGAACTAAACAATCATGTGAACACACTGGGTCCCATGGGATGTATGGTCCCCTGGGTATGTTGGTAGATCAGTTAAGGTAGGGGGTTTTCCACACAGATAGATACTTCCTCTCTCACATCATAGTGCTGCAGATTGCCATTGGAAACCCCTTCTTCTCGCCTCTACCCCTTAGCAAAAAGTCGTTTGGGTATAGAAAGAGTTTTGGTTTCCTCTCTCTCTCTCTCTCTCTCTCTCTCTCTCTTTGAGGCAATCAGAGTTAAGTGACTTGCCCAGGGTCACACAGCCAGTAAGTGTCTGAAGCTGGATTTGAACTCAGGTCCTCCTGATTCTAGGGCTGATGGTCTATCTAGCTGGCCCAGGATTTTGGTTTCTTACTGAATACACTGAAATGGGGCAGCTGGAGCCAAAGGACACCTTAGAGATTAGCTAGTCCAGGAGGTCTTAACCTTTCAGCAGTCTGGTAAAGTCCATTGATCCTTTCTTAGAATAATGTTTTTAAATATTGAGGGAAATACTAAATTGCAGCTAGAGATGGGTGAAAATGAAAATCTTTTTTTTTTCTCCTCATCTAAGTTCATGGAGCCCCTAAAATCCATCTGTGGACCCCTATCTGTAGATCTCAGGTTCAGAACTCCTGATCTAGTCTAAACTTTCCATTTCACTGATGGAGAAACTGAGGTTCAGCAAAGTCACCCAGTCCCAACATCACCCAGAGCTGGGATTCAAACTCAGGTTCTCGGTCTCCAAGTCCATTACAGCTGGGGGCTGGGCACGGGAGGCAGTGTCCTAAGAGCCTGGTGTGAGGGTCCTATGTCAGGGTCCCAGGCTCGGCATGCCTTCAGCTGCTCTTTGTTCTCTCCCTCCATTCCCAGGGTCATTAGCTGCAAGGGTACAGTGAGATAACAGTGTGACCGTAGTACTGACCAGCACTTGAGGTCTGAGGAATTGCTTGCGTTCCCAGAACTTCAGTGCCACCCCCTCCCCTCCTCTGCCTTGTCTCCTCTCCAATAGGGGGACCACTTAGAAGACCTTAGCTAGGCGCAGCTAGTTGGCACACTAGCTATAACACTAGGTCTGGAGTCAGGAGGACCTGAGTTTAAATCTGGCCTCAGACACTTATTAGCTGTTTGACCCTGGGCAAATCACTTAATCCTGATTACCTTGAAAAGAAAAAAGAAAAGACACTCTAACTAATGAGAGGTAGCTCAGGCTTCTCAGGAAACTGGACCTGGGAAGAGAAACAGCCAGAGGTTGACTCCAGGCCTGGCACTATCCACTGCACCACTTAGCTGCCTGCTTTTTTAAGCCTGGACAATAAACAAAACAATAAACTAAGCCCTGATTTGTATCGTTTGTTGATTTTCAAGCTGTAAATGTTTACACTGTAAATTTAACAACCAGCTCTCCCTGAGCCAGTTTGAGCACACCCTTGGAAGCGGCGCAGTATCGACAAGAAAAGTGGGACCCAAGAAGCACGGGTTCTAGTCCCAGCTCTGCCAATAAATAGCTGTGTGACTTTGGCAAGTCATCCCTCTCTCTGGACCTCAGTTTCCCTATCTGTAAACTAAAAAAGTTGAACAAGATCTCCAAGATTCTTTCCAACTCTAATTAATGTACCATTTTCTAAGTTAGATGTAGGACCAGGGAACTTAAAACTGGCTGATTTCTAAAGGCAAAGCTCGAAAGAAAGAAAGAAAGAAAGAAAGAAAGAAAGAAAGAAAGAAAGAAAGAAAGAAAGAAAGAAAGAAAGAAAGAAAGAAAGAAAGAAAGAAAGAAAGAAAGAAAGACAAAACCAAAAACATTCTGGAGTACTGGAGGAGGGGAGAGAAGGAAGGACCTGCACCCAGCAGTTTCCTCTGGTAGAACATGAGAATAATAAAAGCACCTCTCTCATGGGGTTTTGGGGAAGATCAAATGAGTTGACATTGTAAAATGCTTTGTAAACTTTAACAAGTGCTATATAAATGCTTCCTGTTTTTAGTTTTTAAAGTATAGGGTCCTAATTGGACAGGCAGAGCATAGACCTCAAAAGATAAATGGTACATGGCAGCAGATGATAAGTGACATAGGGGCAGTGTAGACAGCATGAGAATCAAGTGTCCATTCCTGACTGCCATTTACTATTGGGCCTCTGTTTCCTTATTTGTAAAATGAGGAGAGCAGGCTAGATGTCCTCTGAGGTACCTGTCTTGATGATTCTAGGATCCTATGACCTAAGTTTCCTTCTAGCTCCAAATCCCATGATCCTACAGTCCCTCAGGCAGCTGGGTGGCTCAGTGGATAAAGCGCCAAGCCTAGAGGCAAGAATACCTAAGTTCAAATCTGACCTCAGAAGCTTACTAACTGTGTGAGCCTGGGCAAGCCACTGAACTTCGGTTTGCCTCAGTTTTCTCATCTGTAAAATAAACTGGAGAAGGAAATGGTAAACCACTCCAGTGTCTTTGCCAAGAAAACCCCAAATGGGCCCTCCTTTCCTTCTTTTTTGCACCTTCTTCGTTTTCTTTCTTTTTCCTTCTCTACCTGCCTCCCTTCTTTCTTCTCTTTCTTTCTTTCTTCTTTCTTTCTTTCTTTCTTCTTTCTTTCTTTCTTTCTTTCTTTCTTTCTTTTTTTTTTCTGAAAAGCTAGAAAAGCTGGTTTTTCTCCTGTGGCCCTTCCAGAGGACCAAGGGAACAGAGGAGATATGAGCTACCATGGGATCAGTCATGTGCATCCCCAAAAAAGTGCCTGCAGCTAGAGGGAGGCTCACTTTTGATAATAAATTGGCCAGTTTCCTAGGGAGACATCTTAACATTTGACCAGCAGTAAGGCCCTGATAATCCAGCCCTGCCCTTGCCCTGCCCTTTGCCCAGCCTTGCCCTGATGCCACTCCCCTGAGACTGCCTTCTTAGAAGCCGTTTCCTGCTTCTTCTGTTAGAAAGCCTCATGGGCACAGGTGGGGAGTTGCTCTGGGGAAAGATGAGGTCTAAGAGAAGAGGTAGGGGTGAGTAGGAAGGAAGAGCAGGTTATTTCAGCCTTTGTCTCTGCAGAGGAAGCAGGGCTGGGTCTCTAGTCAGCAGGCAGTCTGGACTGAGGAGTCGGAAAATAGGAAACTTTCTTTATGAAAGGTTTAGACACACATCCAACTCTCACCTGGCTGGGGAGCAGGCTATAGTGTGCATGGAGGGAGGCTGGACCCCCTGATGACCTCTCCACTTGAAGGATTTTATGATTTTTGGAGACAAGAGACCTAGGTTCCAGGTCTGGCTCTCCTGCTTATTAGCCCAGTGTGACTTCAGCCAAATTACTCTTTCCTTTTATCATTTACCTGTAGATGTGTCATTTCTGCCTCTTCCCCTCTGTGGATCTTTAAGCTATAAGCTCCTTGAGAGCCCAGTCTGGTTCACAATTATCCTTCATACTTCTAGGCCTCAACACAGTGCCCTGCCCATAGCAAGCTCTTGATAAATGTTTATTGTAGCTGATGGCAATGAAACCCAGCTTGATCACAGTGGACAAAGAGAGGGTGTTCAAACAGGGGCTTCAGATTGGATTTAGGAGAATAGGATTCTAGTCTTGGCCCTGTTACTAACAAACTCATTAACTCATTGTGTGACATTCTCCAACTCCATTCATTCATTCCCTCATCCAACTAATCAATCCAAGTATTCAATAAGTGCCTCCTCTATTTCAGGCACTGTCCTAAGCACTAGAGTAATTTATCTTACATACTTCTAAACTATTTTACAGATTGGTTAGAGCAACTCACAATGGAAAAACTAAAACAATCTCTACTCTCAGGGAGCTTCTATTCTTCTCGTTTTTCCTCCCCCCCATATTTATTTATTAAAATGCGTTTTATTTATTTATTTTTAATGTCCATTTAAAAGAAAATTTTGATTTCCAAATTTCCTCACTCTCATCCCTCCCTTACCCATTGAAAAGGCAAGTAATGGGAGATCCATTATATGTGTGAAATCATGCAAAACATTTCCATATTAGCTATGTTGCAAAAAGAAGAGTGAGAAAAATAAAACTGAAAAAATGCTTCAATCTGCACTCAGAGTTCATCAGTTCTCTCTCTGGAGGTGAATAGCATTTTTCTTCATGAGTCCTTTGGAATTGTCTTAGATCGTTGTATTGATCAGAGCAGCGAAGTCTTTCACACTTGAAAATCATTACAATATTGCTGTTTCTGTGTACAATGTTCAAGGACCTTCCATTCTAAAGAGGGAGATAAGTGTCGATATTTATTTCCTCATTTGTCAAGGATCAATTAGACAGCTCCATCTACATCTCTCAGTTGTTGCAAGAATACTATATCTATATATATATATATATATATCTATATATATATATGAAAGCATTTTTGAAAAAAAATATTAGCCTGAATTGAGAATAAAGCTAACAAAAACCCATTACTGAGGTTTTACCTCTTGGGGAGACAGGCGAGGAGAGATAGTAAGAAATTATGGCATAAGATTAGGGGGGAAAGGACAAGGTGATTGAAGAAGCGAACAGGGAATTTTCTCCTTAGAAAAATCCCTGGTTGCTTCCGCTTTCTAGACGATGATTAGGTGATTTGTTTTTTTTTTTCTTGTTCTTTTCAAAATTATGGCTGGTGCTAAGTCTGAAAAGATAGAGGCAGGAAATAACAGTGACTAGGAAGAGCTGCTGGGTGAGGGAGGCATTGGGCAAAGGGGGCGTGTGGGATAGTTGGCAAGAGATCAGAGATGGAAATGGGAAGAAACCTCTTAGAGGTGAAGGCAGGATTCCAACCACTTAGTGAAACCATAGCTTTTATCCATGAATAGATGACCTAAAGATTTCCCAACTTAGATGCAGGAGTCATAGCATCATGGGACACTGGAGAAGGAAGTCATCTGTTTCAACACTTCATTTTGTTTCTTTTTATTTTTTTTTTGTAAATTTAATGATACATTTTGTTCGGACATAGCAGACACTTTCCAATGAAATGTTCCCTACAA